GTCACTTGCGTGCTCTCTCGCTTGCTTGCTCTAGCTCTTTCTCTTTCTTCCCCCCACCCCTTCCACCCTCTCTGAAAAGCAATGGAAAAAACATCCTCGGATGAGGGAAAAAAAGGTCTTCCTTCCACACTTGTTCCTCAACCATCCAGTTCCTTGCGTAAGGAGCAACTAATGCCAACAGTTTATGTGGTTTTTTAAAAAAAATTTATGCAAATAAGTACTATACATTTTTATCCCCCCCTTTTTTACATAAATGGTACATACTGTGCATAGTTTAATTTTTCACTGGTTTTAGAAGTTCTGTATCATTATATGTTTCTTCATTTTTATGGCTGCATAATATTCCATTATATATGTATCATTTCATCATCCTTTTTTAGACATTTAATTTTTTTTCTGATCCGTTTTATTTTATTTATTTATTTTTTAACTTTTTATAATTTTTATTTTTGTTTAAAGTCTTACAGATGTGTCTGATCCTTTTTAAAAGTATTGTGCAATGAATAACTGTACAATCATCACTTTCCACATATGTGTATATGTTTGTGCCCAAAACAGTGGCATAGCTCAGTTGGGATAGAGACATAAATGATAAAATGTTATTTAATAACCAGTAACATAAATTGGTAAACCAGGGTCTCAACAATGTGTTTTTAGGGTTATATCAACTTTGATGTACGTGTTCCCTATGCCAGTATAATAAAATGGTATAGTGGAGTCAACACCCTACGTGTTTCTAAAGTAAACATATCACCTGAACGGCTATCTCTTTATTTAAGCCTTAGGTGAAGCAAGTATATATGTTTAGGCACATTGTCCTAAGCAAATATATTGATATTTAAACACTCAAATCATATAGCACAGCAAGACTTTCAATGAGGAGCATGTAAGAACTGAGACTGATTGATGTAACAACAGGTTTGCACTTGCCAGCTCATGCTCACTTCATGGCATATGCTCATTGAATGCTACTTAAATTGATATTTTTCTTTTTGATTTTTTGCCAAGCACATATACCTGTAGTTGAATTTGTGTAAGATGTAATTCCTATGTGTTCCCCCTTTACCAATAAGAAAACTAAGCCTAAAAGAAGTAAACAATTTACCCAGATTTGCATGACTAGTGGCATATCTGGAACTAGAATCTACCTATAATTTCTAATCCAGGACTTTTTCCAGTATATCAAATGCTCTCATCATTTAACATGTGGCTCCAGCAGTAGATCTGAGAATGCCCAATGATTAGGGACTGCTTTAGATGTATATACTCCACTTAAGCTCTAGCCTTAAAGCAATCGAGTTCAGAAGGCAGCAGTGCTTTCTTCTGGTGACAAAATAACATTCTATAAGTAATTATTGAAGTATTCACACATGTTAATTAGCAATCAGGAGGGCTCCAAAACAATAAAATTAAAACTGAAATGGAGAAACACTCCTAATCAGGACATAGTTGTCACTTCCAGAGGAGTTTTATCAGTCATAAGGACTGGAAGGAAATTAGAATTACTTGGAAATGGATAGTCTTTTATTCCCTGGAGTTCATGCCATCGCTCCAGCCAGGAAAATCTAAACCATCAGAAAAGAAGTGATAGAATAGAGAATGTACTGTAGTAACTATTCCCTTGAAGCCGGCATTAAAGCACCTGAGGCTCCCAACACACTTTTGGGTCCTTAACCATGCTGGCTTGTCAGTCTGTCCACTCTATATGAGCATCCCTCTGCCCTCCACTCCCACTCCAGTTCCTTATTACCACCTGCTTTTTGTTTTCTTCTTCTACTTTGTTTTTTCTTTTCCTATATATATATACACATATATATTTGTTCTTTTCTGTCTCCCTACTAGGTTGCGAGCTCTCTGAGCTCAAGGACTACATCTGTCTTGTTCACCATTATGTATGCATTGCCTGGTACATAGTACATATTTGTTAATGAATGTTCTTGGTGGTTCCCAATTTCCAATTTATGTGGCTGACCAAACTTTTAAAATGAAAGATTTTCAACAGTATATTACCCCATGTACTTATATTTGTTACTTCATGGTTGGTTGAGTGGAAGGTGTGTATGTAACTTATGTGCTCATCTTGTTGAGAAAATTATTAACTTATTTGTGAATGTGCAAGACAGTATGCTAAATGCTGGGTAAATACAAAGGTGAATAATGAATAATCCTAGCCCTAAAGAAAAGTAGAAACATTTGTAAACAAATAGCTTTCATATAAGGCAAAATGAAATAAATGCTAAATAGAGTTGTGCAAGCAATGCTCTTTAGCATTAATGAAGAAATTATTAATTTTAATTACAGAGGGGAACTCATGGAGTTGAATTTTGACTTTTGTCTTAAAGATAGAAAAATAGAACTGAAGTCTCTACATGCAGAATAGAAAGGAATAAATGTTTGGCTTCCCTTTTTAAAAAGTCCTTAAAATAGTAATATTGACCACAAAGAAGTCTTACAAAGCATTGTCATAAAGCAATCTTTTAAAATTTCAGTTCTAAATAAAATTACTCTGGCCTTAAACATTACACTTCTAAAATTGAAACTAACCAGAAAACCATCCTGACTGTTTTGACTAGGTTGGTGCTTTCCAACTAGTTGCTAAGTCATTGGTTCAATCTAATAATTGGATTCTAACTGATTGCTAATTTCAATTAGTAATTATTTAGTAAACTAATGAATTAAGACAAAAAGTTGAGTGATTTTTAAAAACATTTTTTAAAAAGTGATTTTTAAGCGACTGGTGGTCTTTAATGTTTGATTCTCAGGCTGTGTCACACACAGGTTAAAATGTAGACTATTTTTTGGATGGTCCAGTTTGACTTTTCTAAGTTCACTTTTGTTTTTCTACCTTTGTGTAATTTCCTAAGCAGTATAGACCTTCTCCTTTCCCTCTTATTAAGAAGCAGCAGCAGCATAGGCTTTATAGTCACAGACCTGATTTCAACTTGGCCACTTACTGATCACAGTTCTGCCATTTTCCAATATTGTTACTCCCGACAAAATATTTAACCTCCCCAAGGCTCGATTTCATCTATAAAATGAGAATATTTACTAATCCCATCCTGTCATTTAACCAGTTTTGTGAGCTCAGGCCAATTATTTAATCTATCTGAGCCTCAATTTTTCCATATATGAAATGAAATTATCTTAAATGATGTTATATGTAGAACAGTGTCTGGCAGTTAATAAGCCCTCAGCAATTGTTGGTTTCCCCGACCCTCTTCCATCTCATCTAAACCCTACCTGTCCTTTAAAGTTTACTTCAAGTTCTGTCTGCTTTTATCTTTCCTTTGCTAGTTCATATCAGTCTCCTTTTTCTGAAGTCATTGCACTCACCGTGTATACCTTGGGTTCTTAAATTAGTATGGATCAACATTATATTGTAAACATACTAAAAATGTAATTGCTTGGGTCCTATTCCTGGTTCTGTGGGTTTAACATAGAGTCTAGGCATCAGTGTTTTTACCTTTCTCCTTCAGGTTTTCCGATGCTCTGGTGATCATAATTATGATCACTAGTGATCATAATTTTTCATCTATTTGTTAATAATTATTTGCTGCTTATAGTTTACATTTGTTAGGTAGTTTTTACATTATTATATAACCCTTCAGGTGTTTTAGTTTGCACCCCACAAAGGGTGCAAAATACCACTCATAGTACTTTATTTTGTACTTAGTTTAGAGGTTAAAGGATAAGTAATGTCCTTTTTTTTTCCTGCTG